CTTTGATTCGATCAATTGATAGGACTCCTATCCTCCTTGTCGTCGTTTTATCCTGTCTCTGTATTTTCGCTGTCAAGCAGTTTAAAAGTTATTTAGCAATGCTAAATCATATGATTTAGAAGGCATATTTTTATTGGATCATTGTTTATTTTTCATTGCTATTCTATTCTTTATTCGATTTTTGTTTACAATGTAGTGCACAACAGTCTGAAATCAAGCAATCATACAATGAAAATATTTTCACAAAAACAGTGTTCAGAATAATGGATTTTTATAACAATATAACTTAAGAACTTGACTGACTGGGTGCAGGGTTTTGTCTTTTTTGTATGTCTCTAGTTGATTGTTTTTATATTGTTTTGGTGAAGGCTCTACTTGTAAAATGCAGTTTTTTTTTCAATTTCGTGGTTGCTGAAAAAAACGGGTATATCAAAAATATTTCTTTTCCTTTTACAGAATCAAATTTGCGATCTAGAGTTTCTTCGGTTGATACCACCAGTTATTGAACTAACAACTTATCGACGTAATGATGATTTATACAGACACTTCCAATGTATATTGTTTTGTCGTTTCGTCATATAAATATGGTAACAATAACAATGTAATTTTTTATACTTTAGCTAAAGATAACCACAAGAATAATCTACCTGAAACCCTCCACAATAGAGACCCTTTATATATGTTCTTAACAACCTAGACAAGCCATGACCGACTATAATAATATACGACACGGATGGAAAGGTCCACCTTGGATAGTAGGGTTCTTATCTTTGTCATTTCGTCTCTTTCCTTTTTCTTTTGTTATGGTGTTGTCTCACCTTCTCGATTTACTTAAGTGCCAATCTGCCTAAGAATCAGGCAGTGGTGAGAACATGACAAACAAAAACCCGCTCAGCGTTACATTAATCTAAGTCAGAATACATAATGGTGCATGTCCCTGTTCTGGTAATTCAAGATATAATTTGGTTGAAATGCACTAGAAATTAAAAATTAAGGGAAGATAACTCCGTAATTTGCTATCATTCTAACCAAAAAATATCTAGATATTTCTCGAATTACCAGACACGCAGAAACGAAAGACCTACCATTTCTAACTCAGGATGAGGGTACCTTCAAAATAGAGTGGTTAGATCGGCGGTTTTTTTCGGCCATGTTTAGAAATTTTTCTAAATTGCCTGATTCTTACAACGACTGACACTTAAAAAGATCACGACAATTTCCTATTGATATAGATTTTACAAAAAAAACCCGTGAACCGCCTCGATGGTCTTGAGCGACAGATCTTGGGTTTAAACCTCGACCGGGTTTACCAAATACTTTAAAATTTGCTGCTTTCCCGCTAAGCACGTGGCATTAAGGAGTAAGAGCAAAGACTGGTCGGCTCGGAGTCAGAATAATGTGACCAAGTAGGGTTACATGTCTTCCTGTGGACTGTTACCTTGTGAACTAGCATGTGAAAATACGGCTCAGCGTGTCGGTCTAGTACAAAGCAGGGTTAATACCCATATTACATTAACATGTTTGCGTCCGGAATATACATTTAATTTGCCGCACACCAATCCATCATCATCATCACGAAACTCCGTTCATTGCGATACGTATACACTAAAATTAGTTAAATTTTCAAACTTTACTGAACTATCGAAAGTGAATAAGTTTTTAAGTCAACGAGGTGAAATGATATAAATCTGTTTCTCTAATGATGTAATGGAAAATGTCGAGTGCAAAATTTAGAATGGATATAGCGGGAAACTACAAGAAAAAAATTTAATATAAAAATAAGAAGATGTGGCATGATTGCCAATGAGACAACTCTCTACAAGAGACCCAATGACACAGAAATTAACAACTATAGGTCACCGACGGCCTTCAACAATGAACAAAGCCCATACCGCATAGTCAGCTATAAAAGGCCTTAATTCAAACGAGAAAACTAACGGCCTGATTTATGTACAAAATAATGAACAAAAACACATATGATATACAGCAACAAACGACAACCACTGAATTACAGGCTCCTGACTTGGTACTGGCACATACAGAATGAACGTTTGGTTTATCAAAGTTTATCCAAACTTGTTAGAAACGGGTTAAATGCATACAGACTTAAGGAAAATAATGTATATTAATTGACAGTAGTGGAATTATTTAAACTTATTTGTGTCTTTACGTTGTTTTTTCATATTAGCGGTTTTTGAACAGTTTGTTAACCACTGCAATTAATTGCACAGTTGTTAAAATAAAGCACGGTTGTTCGTTTCACGTGTCTTATATATATTTTTGGTTTAATTTTGGTTTCATTGCTTATCAGCGTTTAATAATTTCGATTTGCAATATTTGGTTTTGAGAATCAAGAAATCATATGTAACTTTCTCCTATTGCATTTTGTATTAATAGCACCACTCTGTCAATGCCACTGATAGAAAACACAAACCGTATTAGCGAGCTAAGTAGCCAGTGAATTTCCGTTCACATGACGGTTGAGATATATATATTAAAAAATATTGTTTGTTTATATATCGCCGTGCGTCGATATATACAGGTCGGATATCGCTATAGCGATAGACTTCCGTTTCGGTTTTAACCAGGTTCATTGCCATTGAACGTTCGATAATTTGCAAATTTACAGTACTGGTAATGTTTATTAGAATGAAATTTGTACGACTTGACTCAATCTAAAACCGATCAGCACTTTTTTTAGAACGGCTCATTCAATAAGGTTATTTAAATACTCTCAGGTTCCCTCCAAAAACATTTAAGCTTCTTTTGAAAAAGAGATTGACTGAATCTTAATTGCTCTTTAATTATGCATAAGATAAAGTGTAAAACAGATGTATCTCCCTGATAATTGCATTGACTCTGTGTGCGATCAGATTGATTTTCGGTTCAAAACAACATTTTCAACGGCCATGGAACCATTTCGCTTGATTGTAAAATACTCAATCTTACTTTTTTTCTGTTTTTATTTCAAATAACCCAATTTAAACAAGTCCAAGTACACCCATGAGGGTGTTAATCCTATTAGGTGTATCTAATTTACACCATGATTTTATGGTAAATGCAAAATGACAGATTTAAATAGTTTATCTTATTCTATGGTAATGCATGATACATGTAAGATACCCAATTACGTTTAATTGCACTATGGTGTAAATGACAGTTTTGAATGATGTTATGGATAAAAAAATGTACCAATACCGTACCCATTCAAAAAATTATTGCAATCCGTCTTTATTTACTTTTAATTGTACTCCTGGATTGTATAAGTTCCACATTGTCCTTCTATGATAACATTGCTGTTAATAAATCACACATTTCAATCTATTGTTATCCTTTATATGCCTTGATCTATATGCTGATTAAAATTTCACGCTGTGGTGGGTGTATCTATGCGCGGAAGCTACAGAACATCATGGAATTTTACTGTTTCGTTAACCAATCGCATAAGTAATTTTAAAGGATATTCCAGACTTTGTACAAATGAGGTTTCAATGATTATGATTGATTGGTTGTTGGTTGCTTAACGTCCAGTGGCAAGTTTCTCATGCATGTTCAGGACGATCAATGATTATAACTATTTCGCCAAAATTGTACAAAAATACAAGATGTCAAACTCCTGATAACTTATTTTTTTCAAAATCAATTGCAAAACACTACCTTATTTTACCTATAGAATTTTAATTATACAAGTAACGGATGCGAAAATAAAAGAACGAACATCTAGTGTTTGAATTGTGAATTCAGATATTTGGATTATCAAGTTTTGATAATACTCGCAGATATTTAGCCACCAAACTCACTTTACAAAAAACACCATGTAACAAATGCGCCTCAACACTTCCACAATTTGATGTTGTAAAAACTAGAAACCTTAACAACCATTTCGTCTCTTCTTGGGGCAAGTTGTGATGCAGCCGTTTCGCGTTGGCGCGACTTTATGCAACAATCCACAAACGCATCAATCTCAACAAAGCGTTTTACAGGGTTGAGCATGTGATATTGACACTTTCCTTTCGTTAATTGGCGTACGGTGTGCTCTTTTTGTCTTTTGCTTTATCTAATTGTGTTATTGGGTTTTTGTTCATTTACTCTCATCCCCTAATATTCTTTTCAAGGTTGTATACATGTTGTTTAATGTTTTATTTTTTTTTTTTTTAATTTGGCAAAACCAACGATTTAAAAACTGCATTTATGAGGTTGACTGAAACTTTGCGCTGTGATTCTTTTAAGATGAAAGCTTAGACAGATAAATCTAGTTTTAAATTGCAATCACTCTCCATGAGATCAAATCTATCATCAGATTCCAACAGTAAACATTAGGAATGTTGTATGTTTTATTATTCAAATAAAATAGATATCCTTGGTTATTAAGCAGAAACTTGTTATGTAACATTGATATAGAAATTGTGCTGGTGATCATAAACAAAATTTGAGATTTGTACCCTCCTTATAAATGTTTCCTGAGTAATTCTGAATAAACGTTGTAAGTAGACATCAATGATACACATCCCTTCCACCTAAAATATATTACACAGTTTTTTTTTCTTCTAATTTTTGAAATCTTTTGAAAAAGAATGGAACACTAAGGTTTATTAATTTCATTTTGAGATCTAGAAATTTCAAAGTTTTAATAGATGTCTTTTATTTTTATTTTATAGAACATCAATAAATTATGAAGGTATATCATTTTGACATTTGTAAGACGCAGATGCAATTCGTTTACGCAAAAGTATGAAATATTGTATGATTGCTATTATACTAATAGGTGTTCTATGGGGTAAAATGTCGAAATTATCCATCGATATGAGCTGGAAATATTGTTTAAAAAATATTTTATAAAATATATATATATAAGTATATAAGTTTGGAAACTTTTGTAACGTCTTAACTTTTACTCATTACGTCATATGAAAATGTTTGCATGTGATCTGGTAATCTGTTGGTGTTATTGTGATAAAGCAGTTTTTATCCTTTTCAAATTTGATTTTTTTCTTCTGCAGGTGTGAAAGAGAATGATACCAATCTCTATGTCTGACAAGTGTGGATCAAGTTTGACTTAACCCCCTGACAGCAATCTCGGAAATACTGGCACTCACACGCATCACTGGTTATATAATAAAACATTGAAGCTTAAAACCAATAACATTACATCGGGAAGTTATCATAAAAACGTCTGAAGTCTGATTCATAGGATATATGAATCTTTTACGAGCTTATTAAAGAATATGTTGCTTTATATTTTCTGAAAACTAAAGAATCATTCTTCCGAGTAAAAAACGTGGATAACTTTGAAATAGAATCAATAGCTGTCTGAATGACTTACGCCTTGTTCTATTGTGTAAAATATACTAGAACGTTCTACATTACAGAAAGAAAAATAATGTTTGATTAGGCTTGGCAGTTGTGTTTATCAAACTGTTCTTTTTAAAACGTTTAAAGATATCTTTTCTTGATTTGAAATGATTTGAAGCACTCGTGTATTATACGATCGAATGCAAATGCATTTAATTTAGAAATTCTAGTATATACATTTTAAATAGCTCAATACGTATAGTTTACTTTTAAAATTAAAACAATTTACATCAAAGTGTAATTCGATAACATTTAGATAGACGATGAGAGTTTTTGAATGAAATCAATGACAGAGTTTTTCAACAGTTTACGACATTTTTTCCTCAATGATTTAAGCATGAATGGAACAGAGGAATGTACAGTATGGTGGTGTGATAAATCAGGAACTTTGCTAACTCTAGAAATTATCGCGATAATCTTGTGCATCATCGGAGGATTGGGCAACATAATAACAGTTCTCGCAATATGCTTCTCCAGTTTACGGAATAACATCAATTGTATCTTGATTGGGAGCTTAAGTTTTGCTGGATTTTTATATTGTGGTCTAATTTTGCCCTTGCAGGCAGTTATATTTCATCGCCATAGCAACGCAGTCCCGCAGGAGTTTTGTAGCGCCGCCGGTGGTATAAGGTACACACTTGTTGGTGTTATTTTGGTGCACTTAGGGATTATTGCGTTATATCGGTATCTCAACGTGGTACATTTAGCACAGTATCAGAATCTTTCACAGAAAAGACCTCTGATGATAACGATAGCCATTGGTTGGATTTTACCACTCTTTTTTACAGCTCCGCCATCATTCCGAATCTGGGGAGGATTTACCTTTGTTCCCGCCATTTTAGCTTGTACTTTTGAGAAAGGTATAGACCAATCAAATAGAATTGTGACAGTCACATGTGGCTTCATTGTTCCATGCATTTTTATTATATTTTGTTATGCTAGAATAGGCTGCGTGGCTTACGGTAGTTCCAAGCGTGTAAGTCAATGGCATGGTAACGTATCTCAAACAAGAGCACTGCGACTGTCGGCCATGATGTTATGTATATTCGGTGTATATTTTCTAGGAACATTTCCATATTTTATAGTAAATGTTTACGACAGAACATTTTCGAAGCCGATTCACCATTTATGGACAACTGTTCTCGGTTGGATCTTATATTGTACAAATCCGATAGTGTATACGGTGATGGACCTTAATTTCCGGACAGCATATCGTCGATTTCTTCTAGGAGACTGTGAGAAAAGTCCACTGAGAAGGGGTCCAACTGCAACTTATGTTTAAAGTCTTAATTTTTTCTTGTTGACAATGTTGTTTAGTTTTTATGTACACTTGTTATTGAACAACACAGGATGTCGACTTATGTTTGATAGGGTTGTTTCCGTATTAACAAATTGCTTTGCTGAATGCGAAAATTATTTTTTAATAGAACAAAGGTTGAAAACATTGTCGACAAAATTATGAATTGGTAACAAAATTAGTTCCTATTATCTAATCCTTTGTGCAGATTAGAAAGTGGACACATGACAAGATTATTTCAATGTTGTGGTGATTAGGTTTGTATAAGACCATGAAAGACTGCATAACGAACACAACCCGTAGTTTTCTGTTGAAGGAATTGTTTTTTAAATATATTTATGTCTGAAATAAATTATTTTGTATGAAACAAAGTATCCATTCGTTTGATGTGTTTGAGCTTTTGATTTTGTCATTTTATACTGGAATTTCCGTTTTGAATTTTCCTTGGAGTTCGGTATTTTTGTTAGTCTACTTTTCACATATTTTTCAAAGTACATCATTTCAATTAAACTTTATTATTCCATAATAAATCAGAACAATAAAACAGATAATAGCATCTTCAGAGTAACTTGCGTGCAAGTTAAGCTTCATTTCAACGGTTTTTCCAAATTGATATTTGAAAAATCAAAACATCTTAAGAACTACATCCAAATCAAAAACAAATTATGTCTTGATGTAAATTCTAATCGAAAATATATCCAGTGATCTTGTTTTATTAACAGGTATTTCCAATTTATTAAAAGAACATTTCATTGTTAGTTTTTTTGAAGTTTAATGCCATCTAGTTCACATGTAATTTATATGTTCAAAAACTCCTTAACAGTATGAGCCGTTGATAATCATATCTTTTTCTCAATAGGATAACTGTACTTAGTAAGTATTCTCCGGAAAAGACCAGCATGCGTTCGGAAACAAACACCAGTTTATAAAATGATTAAAAATACCAGGTGTATAATTATATACGCCAAACACGAGTTTTTTTTACACAAGGTTCACCAGTGTCGCTTGAATCAAAACAGTTGAAAATCCAAATCAATCATGAAGTTGAAGAACATTAGCAAGCGAAAATTTTAAAAAGTGTGCAATTTGTGGCAATAGATGTAAATGTAAATGCCTGAGGGTAGAAAAAACGTACGCTGAAACTTGTCAACAAACCTCATTCGCGCGAAGAAAGCTATGTCAAGATGGGGAATGAGGAGGGTATCAAAAATCAAATTTAAGCAGGCAATACTTGAACTAGGCAAATCCAAAGAAACGACAAAAAATTAAGAAAAAAAAGGGTGTACGAAAATAAAACAATAAAATAGAGGGGTACGAAAAGAAGTAACACACAAAATAAACAATAGCAAAAGGTGTACGAACAGAAGTAACATCAACAATAAATTTTGACAAAACAATCCACATTGTGAGTAATATAAGGGTCTCCAAAAGGTATGTACATGATATTCAGTTTCAAATCAGAAACTATTTGATTGGAATATAGTGTGTATCTGCGAATTGGGATATCAAACTACTGAAGAGATATATGACAAGAACATATTTCCTATTTAAAACAATGTCATGTCATTTAGAAAATTACCACTTTGTTTCAATCAAATAAAGATAAGAATTTTATATATTTTTTATATATTACAGCTTTGGCTATACTTTTTGTCCTTTTTGGTTTATCAGCTCTTCACTATCTTTTAAATTTTCAAATATTTCGGCCCCGAGCATCACTGAAGTTACATTTATTGTAGAAATGCGCATCTGGTGCCAAAAACTTGTTACCGTTAACATAGTTACTAGTATATATCATGCAACATAAACTTGCAAGCGTACTATGCTAATATGACCTTTAAAGCTTGCTGTTCGGTGTCAGCCAAGGCTCCGTGTTGAAGGCCGTACTTTGACCTATAATTGTTTACTTTTTACACATTGTGACTTGGATGGAGAGTTGTCTCATTGGTACTTATACCGCATCTTCTTATTTATAAAGATAATGTGCTTTATTATATAGGAATCGTAAAGTTGATTTTTCACTAAATTAATAACCAGCATAAAAGGTATAAAACGGTTTATTATGAGTTTCAATCATGCTAGCAAGCATGACATTACTACCACTGGGTCAATACATCTGCTGGTTGACTGTTAAATCCCCCCAACCCCCAAAGAAAGGGGATAAATCACTACGAAAAACGCAAAAACTTCATGCAGAGCAAGGCAGGGTGCGTCTACAGGGTAAGCATCTCCTGGTATATATAAAAAGAAGATGTGGTATGATTGCCAATGAGACAACGCTCCACAATAAACCAAATGACACAGAAATTAACAACTAAATGTCACATGAATTACGCGCCATACAAATCCATACTCAGTCAAAATGTAACAATGATGATCGTTGTAGGTTTGGAAAGTATTACCTTTTATGAAATATTAAAATGGTGAAGATTGTGTGATGCCTAGTCATCGGATATGACTCGTCAACGCGGATGTCACTACTTTAGCAGGAACTACTGACTTTTCGGAGCACATGAATCGACGCCCTGTTTTTTAAGAGTTACGTTGCTCAATTGTAAATGTTTGTCTCTGTCATGTTTTCTGATCCCTTTTCCTATGTTTTTAATGTGATTTTTTCGCTTTGTTGTAGTTCCATCTACTTTACTAAATGACATTTATATAATTTCCTGTATAACTAGAGATATTCTTTACCAGAAGATAATGTTTCGGCATTGACTGTTGATCATTACTCACATTTTGATAAATTATTGGCTGTAATATTAATTTAACTTAAGTTGCACCTTTTCCTCTAAGTTGAGTTATGAAAATTCTGACCACCTTCATAGGTCAATTTTTGGTCAAACGTGTTAATGCGTCTTTGCCTTTTTCAATTTTTTTTATAATAGTTTTGTATGAAGATAAATGAAGAAAATGCTACGAATGTAAAAAATGGTAAGCTTTCATCGTTTGTATTAAGTTTTGGCTTGAAGGATCACTGAAGAGAAATTAATTGTCGAAATGCGCACCAGGCACAGTAAAATGGGTACCGTCAGTGTTATTACCTTGTTTATCTTATAAGAATTTATCTTTAATTTCATGGTGATTATCAATATGTGGATAACCTAACTTGATTTCTGTCTACTGTTCTAGTTTAGTTATCTGTGAATGAAATTAAAAAGAAATATGTATAATTAATTGTAATTCATTGATAGAATTTCCAAAATAATTGACAACAATTGAACTTCCTTCTTGGCAGTTCTTCACATGATCTATTAGGATTGTTTAGATTTGGACATGGACTGGCAATTATGCCAATAAATTTTCCGTTAAAATAATCCCATACCTACGTTTGATACCTGTAAATGTTTTACAAGTAATACATCTTTTACGTGTATTATGAGTTTTTAGAATATATATAAAAAAATAAATAAATAAAAATAAAGATATTTAAAAGATTAAATTATTATAATAATTTCAATTTTGATTAGATTTACTACAATAATAATTTTATACAGTGATAGTTACATCGTTCATCGACATGTGTACACTTATTTTTTTATAGAAAATGTTATATGCGAAATACGCACAATAGAAATGTTTTTTTATTTGAAAAAAACCCGAATACAATTCAAACACACAAATCAATCGACAGAAAACAGCACGTTAAAAGAAAAGAGACAAAAAGAGTAAAACAAGTCAAGATAAACACCCCACAGAAAAAAGATTGAACAAAAAGAACCCCACGAAATACCGTTATGTACTAAGGTGCTCAGGAAAAGTAAGCCCTTCTGCTCTACCAGGAACACCAATAGGATTACTCATGAAAAGAGAAATTTAATGAACAAAGAAAGAAGGACGGGACTGTTGAAACAAACGAAACGTGTCTGACACAGACACCGGTATTCCATAATCATGAAAAGTAAAATTACATGTACATAGTGGAAACAAAAAGCCTAAACGTTAAAGAAAGACCAAACACACAATAGCCGAAGGAAACAATATGAAAAGACAGACAAATCACCCTCCACCATTAAAAAAGATTGTGCAACACGATAAAAATGAAAAAAAAAAAAAAAATAAATCGAGCTTTCTGATCCATTAATGAAAGCCATTGCTGACGACAAGTAAGAATCCGCTGATGAGATACGTTGTGTCACAGGTGTCACATGTGACAAAGGGAATCATAACAAAGGGAATCAGTAATCATCTGTAACGAAGACGTTTCGTAATCGTCCTCCAGATTATGATGGAAGTTTTAACTTTTGTTCAACTTTGCAATTAGGAACCTTTGATTCAATAACCTTCAAGTAAGAAGCAAACACCTATCTAGAAATCATAATGTCCTGAATATTCAAGAAAGTTTTTTTCATTGAACGTTGAGCAAGTGTGCAAAAACCAATTAATAAATCAATTAAACATCATGATAGGAAATGCAAACCCTGGAATACCGTATCAACTGGGAAATTTGTATACTCCTTATACCGGTGATACCGGTAGGTTGCAACTATCTAGTTCACTCTCAGAAAATTTAAATCATTTTTTGGTCGTGCATTAAAATCTGATCAGGGTTACTGGTTAAATTCTAAATGTCAGATATGAAGCGACTAAAATTCATCTGTAATATCAAGTAGTCAAGTTCAATGGGAAAGATGAGATCAACTTTGTCATTATGGTGTTCATAAAGCTTTCGAAGAGATGCCATAAACGATATTGTAAAGAATTCTCGGTATAGGATTTTTTTTTGTAAGTAGGAATCTCATATGCATGCTGTGGAACAACTGTATCAACTGGGAGATACGCAACAACCGATATGCAGAAACAAACAAGAAGCTGTTGTCTAAAACACAGTTGAACTTAAAGTGGATGACTTGTCAATTCTAGCCTACACCAAAAACACTCCCCCACACACTCTTAGAGTGTTTGGTATATCAAGCTACAATATACATATCTTTAGTGTTTTAGCAGGATTTTATAATGGAACACTCTTGTATCAAACTTGGTGTAGCGCTACTAGAATCTCAATTAAATATCCTTGTTACATGTATTTCTTAAAAACAGTCCAACCAATTCTTATCACGTCATGTTATCCGTACTCATTATTGTGTGTCTTAGCCGCCAAGCTTTGGCTTATGCTTAAATTTCGCTTTCATTCCGGAGAAGAAAATACAAGTTTAAAGTATCCAATTTGATCAAGACGGAAATCTAAACTCACAGGTTACTGAACCCAAGCAAACAGGCTATCAAGAGATTATTGCAGTGCTTGTTATAAAAATGTTCTTTAAAAATGTAAGATACTTCTTTTATTTCAAAATTCGTGTTCTTTGTAAGACGTGTGATAAATATCGGTTTATGGCAAATAGGATCAGTAGTTAATGGTCATGGGGGTAAAAATATCATTTAACATTAAACTAATTGAAAACTGAAAGAAGATATTAAGACGTTTATCTTACACGTAGTTCAGTGAGGCATATGTACCTTAGTCACAATGAACTTCCCGAGTTAAGAAATTAATGCCGTCACTGAATGCATTGTAACCATTAATAATGATACAGATACATTCGTAAGTCATCGGTTACATGAAAAATCGATTTTCTCGACAAACTTCGGAAAATCATTTTATTAGGTAGAATTTTTATTTATGCATCCGAATTGCAATACGTTGTTTGGCATCAAGATATCCACCTATATTTTTGATAATTTCGGAAACGCCATTAAGCTCATTGGTTGAAAGAAGGGTACTGATTTAGAAAATATAACATAATATTCATTAAAGATTAATTTTAAAGTCCCAAAATAATATAATATGTGTTTTAAACGTAGGCGTAGGTAAAGTGAGAGGGCAAATTGAAAATTAATGCAAAAAAACAACGGGACTATCTGTATTTAGCTTGAAATAAACGATGACAAATAAAAGTTACCTCATTGTTTCTGTTTCTTCGAAAAATACTATAATTGCCTACTTGACGAAAAGTAAGTATTTGAATTATATATTGTTGTTGCCATACTTGACTTAATATTATGCCTATGCCGTATTTTAGCAAATAGTACATAGTTTACCGTACTCTTAGAGTTTACGCCAACTCATTCATATCTTTTGAAATCTCTATGATTATTTTTAAACAAAACACCATGCAATTATACAACTTCAAGCACACTTTCTTCGATTGACACATGAAAAGTACAATGTATCACAGAATTTATATTACCCAATTAAACACATATTAAACGGTAGCTTTCAATTAGTAAATGTTCTCTTGTCTATTTGTAAACTTAAACATTACCGTAAACTGTAGAAAGTACATCGGGTTGATATGTATTTCGGTAATTAAATTTCAGTGCTTCAGACCAAAACATTTTAGAATATTTGGCTATTTTGCAACAATAAAATATCAAAAATATGTTTAAGGATAAGGCGGATCTTTAAAATTGATTTGTACTCAGTCTTTCTAATTGATACTAAAATGTGTACTTTGGAAAAGCTATTTTTTGTGTAGTACGTTACATCTACTCTTTTGTACTTTTATTGAGGATTCTAACATTCAACATATTGATTGCATCAGACTACAATAGTTTTGACTGTGATTTCTTTGTAAAACTAATGACACATTAAAAAAGTAACACTAGTTGAAAACAAAGGGAAATTGGATCCGCATTAAGTTCAACCTTATCTAGGAAAAATGTTAAAATGCCTGAAAATTTCAATGATGCTTACGTTTGTTTAGCACCAATATGAATGTAATCACAGAAAAAATGACTTTTGAACTAAAGACAATTTTTAGCTTTTATTTTCAAATATTCAGTTTTCGGTCATATTACAGTTAATTCAAACATTTTTAAAAAGAAATAAACACCCTTTCCAGAAACAAAAAAATCTGTAAGAAATAACTATTATAAATTAGAACTATATTTCGGCTGAACGGAATTTATAGCTACACAGTAATGTCGGTGAGGACGTAGCGGAAACAATAAATACATCATCAGCATTCTACACTCGAATTAACAACTTTGCTGAAGGAACATCTGTTTCGAAGTGTAGGATAAATAAATATGCAATTATTGACATTATATCGGGATCCAAAGTACGTGCTGGCGGATGTATAATTATTTGATGTCGAATTTCATTGCACGAGACACGTCCTTCTTCAGTATTTTTTTTAAATGTTTGAAATTTTTTAAACAAAAGACAACTAGCCAGTCACAAACGTCTAGCAGTAAATATTGCATGCATAATTTCGACGAATACATTTTGATATGATTCGAATATTACGTACTTTGTACGAGACCGACACACTCAGTCGAACTTATTTGACATTCTAGCTCAGTATGTATCTGTCCGCAGGATTGCATGTCAACTTACCCAGATACATGGTTCTGAATCATTCTCGGCAAGTCTTTACTCCTTCCTTAATTCTGTTTCCATTGTATAATAGAACAAACACTTGCTACGAAAATCCAGTTTGAAAAGCCGAGTTTCGAACCCATAACCGCATGAGAAGATCAAGGTGGTTGTCCCGAAAAATGACTTTAATAATAAACTACCTCTGTCCGATTGTTTTTGTGTTTCAAAAATTGTAAAACAAATCTGTTTGTGATAAATACATGTACGATCATTCGTTAATGAGTTGTTTGAAGGAATATTCGAATAATCAACAAACATTATTAAGTCATCAAATTCAGAGAATTTTGTAATAAAGGCTTCACATCGCGATGGAACTTATTTAAAAAATGAAAACAACACTTTGTAAATTTCATGCGTCCGAAGTTATTTTCTAGATTTACTTTCATCAGAAACGCTCAAAGCCGAATGATGTATAAGAACAGAAACAGTCGAAGAGTTGTATGACCACAAAGGACATACAAATAATAGCCAAATCCATCTCAAGTCAACTTTACCTGAGGGAGTTGACACCTTATTATTATATAATAATTTATAAACGGACAATGTTAACAAAGGTTTGTTATAAATCATGTCAGTACCGAAGTTCTGACTTCTCAGCTGATAATACCCTCGAGACTGAAAGTCCACTAGCAGAAAAAAAATAAAGTGCAGTTGTGCTTGAGGAACTTATGCAGAATGAACTAAGTTTGTATAATAACTTGACTTGTTTTGATACGTTAAACAAAGTCATCCTCTGGGTTATGCGTATACACATAAGGAGATTTGGTATGATTGTCAATGGGACGACTATCCATCAAAGATCAAAGGACTGGGATGTTTACATCTACAGGTCGACATATTTGACCGTACTCTAAAATCTGATTGATACTTTTATTGTTGTTTGCTTAATGTCCATCGGTAAATATTTATGCATATTCAGAAAAAGAACAACTTAAGTCTTAAAAGAATGTTACATCGTTAAAATACTGTAAAATATTTGAAATAATTTTCGAGGAAAGGATCATTCTAGAGACTTCGATAAATAAACTCCAAAGCTTCAGATTAAATCATTGAACACATAACCACCAATTTGTTTCTAAAACATTGGTGTAAACGGGAGAAAATGATAAAGAAATCACTTGATTCTTTTTTAATATATATTGTCGAATATTCTGGCAATAAAATTTAACAGGTATTCCTATGGACACTAAATGCACCCCTTCAATAGCATACTTCGTTCGATATAGTTTCGAATAACAAGTTATGGCTGAACTCATTAACGATCCATCTAAATTCCATTGATAAGACACATGAAGTAAGCCCCTTACTGTTACTTAAATGATATTTTTGCTTTCAATAATCAAGAATTTTAATTTCACTTTGAACATTTATTTCTTCTTTAGTTTTCTATGTTGTGTTTTGTAGACTTGTCTTCGAATTGTGAATTGGAATGATCATTTGATCTTCCGCCTTTCTTTAACACAAGAAAACTGATTTTTAATCAATCTAATATGAACAACAATATTCATCCCTTTCTAGGTTTGGATATTTCAGTTTCACACGGGAAAATCTATACAAAGAGATGATTTTTCGTTTCCTATTGTTCCTTTCTTTTGACGGTGATGTTCAAATGCCCCTTCTTACGATGTGTATATTTCCTTACTCGTTCGCTATAATCCTGTCTGCAGTGAAGTTTAAGATTGCAACGAACGTTATCTATGTATTACTGGTAAATTATGAAGTCAAGGATTTTGTTAACATATACATGTGTCATATCCTAATGTTTACTATGGGGCTGTTTTGGTAGAGCCCTTAAATTTAGATACGATCCGTGTAAACTTATTGATACTATACATGAACTTTGTATGATAGGTTATCAATTTAATCTTATCATAGGAAAACGTAACCAAATAGGAATGGCTGTTCAGTTATAAACAGTTTTAGTCCTACATCCAATCGATACTTATATTTTGGAATTGCACAAGGCCATTCTTTTTTGTTAGTGACGTCTTTATACTAAATACCTTGGATGTGTACTGATCGATATTTTAGTATGGGAAACATGCTTTGTTCATAAGCTTGAATTTGCTTTGAACTAGCTTTCAGTAACTGCAAGTTCCTCTTAAATCGGTTAGTTGCGTTTTAGTTTTTTGGTCCATTTTTTTTTACATGTGCTTAGTTCCAATTTGATGAGTCAAGCGTTTTCCAACTTATTTTGATAATGTGTTCTTATGTTGTAGTGTTACACCACTGTCCACGGATAGGGAAACTTTGAAGTCGATGAGCATGTTTAATCACACTACATTCTTTGTGTACCCGTCTCAATTCAAGAGCCTATACATCAGTTGTTTCGTCGGTTGCTCCCTGCTGTCTTCTGTATGTGTTTTTCGGTTGTTGTTTTTAGAAAAAATAAGGCTGTTGTCGTTTTTTTCCTTTTAAATTGATTCAAATTTTGTCATTCCGAGGCTTTTTATAACTCAATATATTGTATGGGTTTTGCTCATTGTTGAAGGCCGTGCAGTACCCTGTAGTTGTTTACATCCTCGTCCTTTAGTCATTGATGGATAGTTGTCTCATTCGTAACCATACCACATTTTCATATTTATATTTATAACAAAGCGGATCCCAAATGATTTGATTTGTACTCAATCTTTCCATTCTTACTAGACATATACGGATAAGCTGGTATTGTGTATACTATATTACTTCAAACGGCATAGTCTCTCCTTTCTTATATAAAACGTCTGTATACAAGTTGTGAAACATGACACAGAACTGTTACAAGTGGGGCGGAAGGACCTTGTTCGAGAATTCGGGATTGAGCCGTGTAATTAGCGGGAATTCGGGAATAGCCAGTTAAATCGTCGGGAATTCGAAAATTCGGGATTTAATTATATCATGATGCAGGCAATGGAATGGACACATTATTTTTACGGGAATTCGTGATTTCGCATTTATTTTCTCTGGAATTCATAACGAGACCCCATCTGTTTCATTGGTAACATAAGTATTTTTCTTTAAATTGGCATATTAATCAACTTTGAATGTAATCATATGTAATAAACAAATCATATGATAGTAAATGTTGAAGCTTTGAACTTTTTAACACAAGCGGCATATTTTATTTCGATCCTATGACAGAGCTTAAAATCAGGACAAAACATACAAATATATATATAAAAGGATTATGTTTTTAGATTCCCCAAAACTACTGGAAAAAACATTCTATATAAGCTTTGCAAAAGTAAAACAATTTGTACATGTTTTTATTCTCTTGTTATCATTACCAACGATTTTTCCAAGTAGTAACCCATATTAACAATCCAATCAATTTTACCACCAATCATGTCATTCAGACTTGCACGATAACATTGATTGTACCACCATCCACCTTTATTGTCATTTGCACAATTACCATATTTGGCACCATCATTATCTCGGTCATAAGTAGAAAAGAATTGTCTATTTGCTACTCCATGATAACGTACATTGATTAAGGAATCGCCTGTAGAATAATATATAAATACTTATATACTAATTATCACTACAAATAACCTGTTATCATATATAACTAATACAAAAGTCACGGTTTATTATTTGATTCCTAATTAACATTTTCAGCCTCATTTTTCTTTACTCTTTCCAAAAGAAAGCAAATGTAATACAATTGTTCGTGACACACGCTATTTGTTACGTCGATGTATTTGTCAATAAAATTACGAACAGTAGTTACTCCTTTTTCCTATTTATAAATTACCACTGTAAATAAGGTTTTCCAAAGTATAAAGTACAAAAGTTTGGCTGTCATCGTTGATTCATAAGCATCCGAGTTAAATAATCACAATTCGTTAGCACCAAAGAAGAACGCTTGGTCTTTCTGAAGTTAATGAAGCTTTGGACCTCAGTCCAAACAACCAATGATATAGACACCATGCAAAATTGTAATTCGTCTCTGATCATAAAAGTAGATGTTTTGTTTGGGGCTTTTTTTGTTCTTTGTTTCGTTTTATTTTTGTCTAAACGACGTTTACTTCAAATTTCATTTTATTCTTATTACTTAAAAATGAAAAGAAATATCCCAATCGAAATTATTTTTACCAGTTTTTTTTCAATTATGGAAGTTCAAAAAGAACATGATTACAAACCGAAAAAAATGCACAGTATTTCAACAATGTTAATGTTGTGAACAAATTGACAATTGGAACTGTAGCAAATTGATCGATTCCTCGTACGAATCAATATTACCACAAGTCATAAGGATCTTTTTTATATATCATTACGCTATCAATTAAAATCGAGTATTTTTTCTTAACATTTATATGATTTAAAAGTATCTCATTCAATAATTTCCATGTAAACTACACAAACATAGCATTAATCTTAATCAATCAACCGCGACAATTACAGTGAAACATTTATGATAAACATACCAGCAGTACCGCTATAGCCTGATATATTCAACATGTATTTATTTAGCTCATCTTCGACTCGGAAATTTGAGTATTCCGCATATTTTTCTGTTCCATCTTTTTCCAGCACGAATCGTACCTTATGTTGTTCATTAGTCGATATTGCATGAATATATTCATTCCCTTCAAATACAAGGTTTAAAAGAAATCTAAAGTAAAATAAGATTAATGATTAAACACATACTCATATTAAAATAGGAAAAAGGGCGTGAAGTACCAAGGGCCATTCAAACTTATAAATCTATATGAAGGAATATATATAAATATGAATAAACGTGAACCTAATTCAAAAGTCATTTGCTACATCATTTTCGCATAAGTCTTTATTGACCCGATATCTTAAAATTTTCATGAAATACTGTTTCGAAAAACCATTGTCAGTATCTGATGCAGGTTTCTCGTCAAAAAGTCTTAAATTGACATATTGTATTCGATAAAGTCCATTTCCTGACATTTCCTCAATTTTCAATGTTACCATTATTTGAAGATGACCTACCGTTCGTGTTTTGCATTCTATTTTTCCATGATATTCTTTACAAAAACAAAAAGATATCAAATAAACATTCAAACTTGCTTGTGTATTCTGTAGGTGTATAAACTAATTGTTTTATTAATCTAAGAATAACAAGAGTAATAGTTTCTCCTACTTCTCTGATAGACCATATTAAGGAAAGAGACATAGTCGATTGCTCAAATCAAATACGGAAATCAAAGGTACAACAAAGAAAAGTGTGCATATTTATTCCTTTTATAACCAAAATGATTACCTAACCAATGTTCTCCGCTAACATTACCAAATCCTTCTTTGTATTCGTTCCATGTTCTAGTAAAATTAACAGTGAAGTCAAAACGTCGTTGAATTACCTGACATAGAAAATATATTTATGTTTATGCCCTATATTACAACTTGGCAATATAACTCAATATATTTCAAACATTTTAGTCATTTCCATAATACTGGTTATTGAAATAAGGCTGATCTTTTGCATTCGGTACTACAAGTAAAAAATATGACAGTTGTTTTCCATTCGTTCCTTTTGGTTGATATAGTTTAACGTTGGATTTTGTCCAGTTTTATGGACTTCCCTTTTTTCTGTATCTTTTGTTATTATTTTATTGTTTCATTTTTATGTGTGTCGAAAAAGAGAGATTCCAAAAGGACATTCAAACTGATAAGTTGAAAATAAACTGACAACGCCATGGTTAAAAAAGAAAAAAAACCAAAACAAAACCAAACAACAGTACACAAAACACAACATAGAAAACTAAAGACTGAGCAACACGAACCCCACCAAAAACTGGTGGTGAATTCGTTAATTGAAATATATAGCTAACTTACGAGTTCAAGGTCTTCAAAACCAAAGAAGTACATTTTCAAATGATAAAATATGACATGAATTTAATAACTGGTAACTGTTTGATGACGTTTTAATGTATTTTTGAGCAACTATTACTGCATGTGTTATAAATTCAGAGACAATATACTTACCGTCCATTTTCTATTGTCTTTCAAAACACAATAAGCGTATTTTGGATGATTATAACCCTTTGGAAAAATTAGGAAAACGCCATCTTTAATAAAGTCGATATCGGCACATTCCAGAGGTTTGACTGAAAAAAGTGTTGTGCATGGTAAATATAATAGGTCTAATTAGCTATAGGTACACTTCATGATACCTTATAGCTCCAAATAAAACATATGTAAATAATCAATAATGATATTACAAAAAGGAAGTATCAATGTCAACTAAATTCATTTTACATCTAGAACTGTTGTAAAAAAATTGCCAATCTTAACTAAAATTTACAATATGACAACTTAATAAGTCTATTTACGTTTATTTTAACATGTTTCGTGTATTCTTACTGAGATCGCCCCCATTTTTTTGGTAGGGAACGTGTATTTTGTCTTTAGTTTTGTATGTTTTGCTTTGAGTACGGTCGATTTTCGTTTTTTTGCAGTGGCATTGTCAGTTTTTTTTTCGACATATGGGTTTAAATATCCCTTTGAAATCTTTTGCATCTCTTTAACGTAATTTTAATTGGCTAAAGATGGTTTCGTTTAGGCATTTTGGTATGAGTTTAAATATCCCTTTGAAATCTGTTGCCTCTCTTTAACGTCATTTTAAATGTCTAAAGATGGTTTCGTGTAGGCATTTTGGTATGAGTTTAAATATCCCTTTGAAATCTTTTGCATCTCTTTAACGTAATTCTAAATGTCTAAAGATGGTTTCGTTTAGGCATTTTGGTTTTGTAATTAGTAAAAAAGATGGACATTCTTAACTAAAAAACTATACCAATTAAGGTGTGGAATGTGATAATGGTGTCCGTTCCGTATATTCAAACTTTGACAAAAACATGCAAAATTATCGCGTAATTTGAAAAGCAGCATAAAACAAGATTAAATCAACTTGTATGTTACTATTAGTTCTAGGATACAGTTATTGGTTTTAATGTCTATCATTTCCCCTTTCTGTTAATGTCTGGTCTAGCAGAAGCATATTTATGCACTTATTTTTTACGCGAAATTTTATGTCAAAAGTGTATATTTTTTCAACAGAATTATCTAATGTCTTACCTTCTTTCATAACACACTTTTTAATGATATTTTCAAGAATGTTTAATCTTGTTGCTACATTTATTAGCTGTTCTTGAACTTGCAAAGTTTTCTCGGTATTCTCGTTGCCATATCCTGCAGCACAAAAAAGAATTAAAAAAGATAAAGATGCATTAAACGCAAAAGAGGGACGAAAGATACCAGAGGGACAATCAAACGTCGTAATAAATAAAAAGAGAAATATATCTAGTAACTTAAACTTATGACTTAAATCAAAGTTATTACATAAACAATCAGTTAATCAGTTATCATGGTGGATTAAGGAGCCCATATTTCAGTCAGTGGTTGTCGTTGGTATCAGTCTGTCATATTATTTTTTTCGTTTATTGGCTCTTCATAGATCAGGCCGTTGCTTTTTTTCAATTGAATGTTTCAGATTTCGTCAAATCGGGGACTTTTATAGCTATCTATACGGTATGGGCATTGTTGAGAGCCGTTCGGTAACCTAAAGTTGCTTACATCCACATTATTGGAGAATAGTTTTCTCATTGGTTACCAAACACCATCTCCATACTTTATCAAATTTCAGAATTTTTTTTCTCGCTAACCTACAGTTCTTTATTTACCAAAAGCAAGTTCGAATTGTCCAATTTAAGATTTGCATTTTATAATTTGGCTATTTTTCGTTACTTCAAATAATTTTATCGAGCAAATATTCATCCATATCAAAGTCTTCGTTCTTGATGTTAACAAGTGCACATTTTAGACGAAAGAAGCGTATTTTCGAAACAGTATTGACGCTAATACCAACTGGTTAGAAGTTCGAAGACATAAAAGATAAATATAATTGCGCTTAACTTGTATTTATTGTTAGGTGGTTGTCTCAATTGCGTTTACCGACATCTCATTTTGTTTACATGAAATTTTAAGTGTTACATTGTAAATTAATATAATGCTGGTTTTTTTATCAACCTTGAAAGCAATTTGACCTACTTTATTCTTAAAGTATTAATAAAAGAATGTGGTCTAAACGTGAATAAGATAACAACTCAGCTCCCAAAAACTAAACAAATATTTAGAGTTGAAGGACGATACTTAAAATCTTCTAAACAAGAAAGTGAATTACCTGTTTCTTTTAAAATTTCCTCAACTATTGACATGAGTGTGTCATTGATGCCAACACTGACGTTTTTTTCAATATTAGAAACGTATTCGTTGATATTTCCTTCAATATCTTCCATTTTTGTTTCAACGGCCTCTCGAACATATTTCTTTACATGTCTGTTTACTTTTGACATATCAAGGGTCGCAACCAATGGAGCATTCTGATTATCGACTAATGGAACATCAACTTCTTCGTCATTTTTTCCAGTGGTCATTGGTGATAACAAAACAAATATCAATATATAGTTCAAATATTTACACACCATAAAGTTATCCATGTTTAAATTGATACATGTAATTGTTCGCTTCATTAGTAAGTTGTCATCTCGTTTCGTCTTATATAATGACATTTCAAGATGTTTGTTTTTATAGCAACATACTCTTCTAGATAAGAAGCAAAGAAGAGTGTCAAGTACGTATAATGATTTTGCACCATCAAATAACCTATGTATTGAAGAATATACATCACAGGTACTAGCAAGGACCTAGTTTGCAGCTTCATAATTTCACGTGACTAAATACATCTGTCGCGTAGAGCTCAATTTGATATCTATTATAATGCTGATAAAAGAAGGGTTCTAAAAAAGAAAAGTATACACTGGGTTCCAAGATAGATCCGTATGTTTTTGTCATAAGGTATTCAACTTGGTAATGTTAACAGTATAACAACAGCTGGATAGTACAAAATTTAGTAAACGTTTAAATCGTAAGAAATTGATACATACACATGTTGGAAAAAGGTCACACGACTTTATGACCTGTGCTAATAAAGTCGTGCATGTGAAATTTTCTTTCCAGTATATGACTTTGTTCTTTTTATAAACTTTAAAGTAAACAAATTTTCTATGGACATTTAATTGTCGATTTTAAACAAGTGAAACATGTAGCTGGTATGGTTCTACTAAAAAATAGAAAGTAATGGCAAAATATTGTTTTGTTTAAATTTTATATTATTAAATTTCGAATTCATTTTAAATTAAGGAATGTATCTCCCTCACGCATAGCTCCGATTCCATGACCGGGTTTAGCTTTACTCTCGGTTCTTTTTGGGTATATTAGATTTTCAACGTTTGTATTAGTTTTTGGACTTTCAAAATATTTTGGCCTCGAGCATCACTGAAGAGACATTATTGTTGAAATGCACATGTGGTTCAGTAAAATTGGTTCCGTTAATGCTTTGACAATATGAAAGCTGAAATTACCGCGTTTGTCATAGATTCTAATTTTCAGTTGTCAATCAGCGTCAAATTTAAGACAAAGATATATTATTATATATAATTAGTTATCGAAGGTACCAGGCTTATAATTTAATACGCCAAACGCGCGTTTCGTCTGCATAAGACTCATCAGTGACGCTCAGATCAAAATAGTTATAAAGCCAAACAAGTACAAAGTTGAAGAGCATTGAGGACCCAAAATTCCAAAAAGGTGTGCCAAATACGGCTAAGGTAATCTATTCCTGGGATAAGAAAATCCTTAATATTTCGAAAATTTCATACTTTTGTAAACAGGAAATTTATAAAAATGACCATATATTTGAAGTGCTGACTACTTGGCTGGTGATACCCTCGGGGACGAAACTTCCACCAGCAGTGGCATCGACCCAGTGGTGTAAATAACGCGCGTTTCGTCTACATAATACTCATCAGTGACGCTCGTATGTATTTATTATAAGGTATTTCACTTGTTAATGCTAAATAGTCCGTTTCAGACTAATATAATGTACTATTATATTATTATATTATTTAGAATGAATCCACGACAGCTCACCAGGACACCTCAAACGAACTATAATTTTAGGTCCTTGATAGACAGTACGAATGTATACACAGGGTTTATAGGTACTCTCTATCAAGGACCTGTGTATACATTCGTGTGACGCACAGTTTATAGTTCGTATGTGGTGTCCTGGTGTGCTGTCGTGGATTCATGGGAGGTGTCCGTTGTTATTCTGAGATGTAAAGTACTATTATTATGTGTTTCTCTGTCCTGAGTGATCTTGCATTAATTTGTACTGTATTCCTGTCACGTAATGTTGTCATTTTAGCGGTATTTTTAACATTTCCGTATAAGCGGGAGGTTTGACTAGCCATAAAACCAGGTTCAACCCACCATTTGTTCTTAAAATGTCCTGTACCAAGTCAGGAATATGGCAGTTGTTATCAAATAGTCCGTTTCTATGTATGTTGTCGTTTGATTTGTTGCAGTTCAGTGATTTTGTTGTTCTGTTGTTTTCCTCTTATAGTAGATGTGTTTCCCTCAGTTTTGGTTTGTGACCCGGATTTTTTTTCGCTCAATAGAAGTATACTACTGTTGCCTTTATTTAAATCATAACGTCTATAAAATCAATCAATGCTAAGGTTTTCATGTGATTGTAAAGAAACTTGTTACTTTACGGAACAATAACATAAAAGTTGAACAATAATACATGCTGTCATTGAGACTTTAACCTGAATCACGGACAGAAATAAAAATATGTAGATGTATATTTATCTCAAATTTTATAAAGAAGACTCTGAATACCCTAATAATATAATTTCGAGAAACGTTTTGCAATTAATGTCTAAAGGTCGAAATTCTTATAAAGATGAACAAAATGCAATTGACAAGTGATAAGGTGCCTATATTCGTTGGAAATTAATGTAGAAATATTCATTTTGAGAACAGTTTCAGTGTATATCTTTCGAAATAGTGCAAGCAAATTTTGCCACTATTTATTTCACTCTAAAAATATTTTAAAGAGACTACAACTATTATTAAAATTCATGGTATCACATGCAGGGCCTTTTGTATGAACTTTGAAGTTCACATAATTTTTGGTGAACTCTTTTTTTTCCAAAATATCAAAAAAAAACCATAAATATAAAAATAAGGAGATGAGGTATGATTGCCAATTAGACAACTATCCACCAAAGTTCAAATAAAGTGGATGTTAGCAATTATAGCCAACCGTACGGCCTTCAACAATAAGAAAAACCCATACCGTATAGTCGGCTATAAAAGGCCCCGACATGAAAAATATGAAACAATTCAATTGAGAAAACTAACGGCCTAATTTATAACAAAACAATTAACGAAACACAAATATGACAGACATGTACCAACTACAATCACTGAACTACAGGCTCCTGACTTGGGACAGGCAGGTAAAGAATGTGGCGGGGTTAAACATGTTTGTGAGCGCTCAACCTTTCCCTAACCTGGGTTTAGTGATGTAACAGCACAACATGGGAACAAACTATAAAAATCAGCTGAAAAAAGCGTAACTCATCAGATCGATACAAAGTAGAAAACATCAAACATAAACACAGACCGGACGTAGCAGTGTATTTATCCATCCCTCATCCCTTAAAACAAAAAGGACACTAAGTACAGATCTGAGAGTACTTGCAATTACTGACAGCTAGTTCTAATCCATAACAACTATAAAAAAAATCATGTATATAAGACTAAAATATATATCAATACACATCCAACATCCAATAGATTTAGTGTAAAGACATCATTAACAGTCAGACAAAAACATGACCTTAAAGACGACTTTTGAATTCATGCACTTTCCGGGATATTTTCTATGTCACAATACTTATGTAATTACGCCACAGTAAGAACCGACTGTTCATTGACGTCATTTAAGCCGATTGACCTCGGGTTGACCGATGTAGCTCAGTCATAAAGAACAACTCGAGATTGGTCGATACTTGAAGGACTTCTTCACCATATCAAACAGTCGTTCGAATATTAAATTGTGCTATTTCTTACGGATATAGATTATTCACGGTGTAGCGAAGGGGTTGAAATTTTGAAGACACTGGAGTATGACTTATGACATGCGGCGGGACCTTTAATATAAAACATACGGTTGAGATATATGATGTTGATGCAACTGTATCTGAAGTTTTATTCTAAAATAGACAAAACGGAAAACGTTTACACATAGTGTTGTTAACAAAGTTGCCGTTCCCTGAAAACTCCTATATTCCAAATAAGTGTTGCATTCAGGAAAGTAAATTTTTCATTTCATATTAACCTTTGGCCGACATATACAATCTGTTTGTTTGTATTAGACTGGAGTTAACAATTAGAGGTTGTTGGCACAATTTAAATTTGATCAAAACATGCCTGTAATTATTGATGTTGACTGCCTCTGTTGTCTTGAGGTAGTGTGCTCACCTGATTCCCGCCTGGTTAAACTGAGGACTCTAAAATTTGTATCTGTTGTTTCCCTACTCAGCACGTGTCATATACGAATAAGAGCGACGACTGGTAAGCTCGAAGACAAAACAACATTTCCTACGGACGACTGTTACCATCTGTGCTAGAAGTTAAAAATCCGACCCCACTTCTGGTTCTCATAAAAGATACATAAAACTTGTGAGAGCGTCCCATTTTTAATGTTGATGAAATTACTTGTGATGGCTTTATATTTATGATTTCATTGTGTCATCATCCTTTTTGATCTGGGTGAATACATATTTTGCATATATTTTTAACACCAATTTATTTGGCCCTATCAAGAATGATTTCTGTTATTATATTGGATAATTTAACTTTTAACTTTCAATTTTCTCTTGTAGCTTCTTTGCATTAATAATATAACTGTCTTTATCTTTTCAAATTAAATTTAAAACGGAATATATTATAATATGCACGTCTAAACTTTTTAACGATTTAATTTTTCATTGAACAATTTGGCAACCTCATTTATGTAAATGCATACCATATACACATCACATTTTCCAATGAAATTGTAAGCACTTTGTAATCAAAAATTGATTCATATTACTCTTGTAGCAGGTTTACCAAATGTTATAAATTGCAAATAGCTTTGAACTGAAGAACATTTGAAGATTGTCGAGGTGAAACACATCAAAATACAATTATTGAAAATTGATGGCTGCTATAAACAAAACATGCACTACAAGTGATACTAAAGAAACTATTAATAATAAATAATCCGAAAAATACAATACATCAGCTCAGTAGTCAGTGCTTCGATACTGACATGATCATAACATACCTTTCTAAAATTGTCCGTTTAATAATTTACAAATTATAAAAAAACTAAAGTTCTAACACCCTAAAGCAAAGTTGACATTAGATATATTTGCTTATTATTTTTTAAAACCCTTTTGGTCGTATAACTCTTAATATTTTTGGTTTCTATATATCCTCGGCTTTCAAATATTTGATTTTGAGCGATCTTGATGAAGTTAAATCCTGATTAACGATTCGGTCGCGTAAAATTCATACCACTGTTAGTAGACTATAAGTTCACGATGGTATCATCAGCTAAATAGTCAGTGCTTCGGTACTAGCATGATCTATAACATACCGTACTTAAACTGTACGTAATACATTAAGAAATTAGTAAGAAT